GGGTGAGCTGTGGTGTGCGCTGCACTGTGAACTGCGGTGTGAGCTGCACTGTGAGCTGCAGTGTGAGCTGCACTGTGAGCTGCAGTGTGAGCTGCGGTGTGAGCTGCAGTGTGAGCTGCGGTGTGAGCTGCAGTGTGAGCTGTGGTCTGAGCTGTGGTGTGAGCTGTGGTCTGAGCTGTAGTGTGAGCTGCGGTGTGAGCTGTGGTGTGAGCTGAGATGTGAGCTGTGGTCTGAGCTGAGGTGTGAGCTCCAGTGTGAGCTATGGTGTGAGCTGTAGTGTGAGCTGTGGTGTGAGCTCCAGTGTGAACTGTGGTGTGAGCTGCAGTGTGAGCTGCGGTGTGAGCTGCACTGTGAACTGTGGTGTGAGCTGCACTGTGAACTCTGGTGTGAGCTGTGGTCTGAGCTGAGGTGTGAGCTGCAGTTTGAGCTGTGGTGTGAGCTGCAGTGTGAACTGCGGTGAGCTGCAGTGAGAGCTGTGGTGTGAGCTGCACTGTCAACTGGTGTGAGCTGCAGTGTGAACTGCGGTGTGAGCTGCAGTGAGAGCTGTGGTGTGAGCTGCACTGTGAACTGTGGTGTGAGCTTTGGTGTGAGCTGCAGTTTGAGCTTTGGTGTGAGCTGCAGTGTGAACTGCGGTGTGAGCTGCAGTGAGAGCTGTGGTGTGAGCTGCACTGTGAACTGGTGTGAGCTGCGGTGTGAGCTGCAGTGTGAGCTGTAGTGAGCTGTGGTGTGAGCTGCAGTGTGAGCTGTGGTGTGAGCTGCGGTGTGAGCTGTGGTGTGAGCTGTGGTGTGAGCTGCAGTGTGAGCTGTGGTGTGAGCTGCAGTGTGAGCTGCAGTGTGAACTGTGGTGTGAGCTGCGGTATGAGCTGCAGTGAGAGCTGTGGTGTGAGCTGAGGTGTGAGCTGTTGTGTGAGCTGCAGTGTGAGCTGTGGTGTGAGCTGTGGTGTGAGCTGTCAGTTTGAGCTGTGGTGTGAGCCATGGTGTGAGCTGTGGTGTGAGCTGCAGTGTGAACTGCGGTGTGAGCTACAGTGTGAGCTGCAGTGAGAGCTGTGGTGTGAGCTGCACTGTGAGCTGTGGTGTGAGCTGCAGTGTGAGCTGTGGTGTGAGCTGCACTGTGAGCTGTGGTGTGAGCTGCAGTGTGAGCGGTGTGAGCTGCACTGTGAGCTGCGGTGTGAGCTGCAGTGTGAGCTGTGGTGTGAGCTGCGGTGTGAGCTGCAATGTGAGCTCGGTGTGAGCTGCGGTGTGAGCTGCAGTGTGAGCTGCACTGTGAGCTGTGGTGTGAGCTGCAGTGTGAGCTGTGGTGTGAGCTGCGGTGTGAGCTGCAGTGAGACCTGTGATGTGAGCTGCGGTGTGAGCTGTGGTCTGAGCTGCAGTGTGAGCGGTGGTGTGAGCTGTTGTGTGAGCTGAAGTGTGAGTTGCGGTGTTAGCTGCAGTGTGAGCTGTTGTGTGAGCTGAAGTGTGAGCTGTGGTGTTAGCTGCGGTGTTAGCTGCGGCGTGAGCTGTGGTGTGAGCTGCAGTGTGAGCTGTGGTGTGAGCTGAAGTGTGAGCTGCGGTGTGAGCTGTTGTGTGAGCTGAAGTGTGAGCTGTGGTGTTAGCTGCGGCGTGAGCTGTGGTGTGAGCTGCAGTGTGAGCGTGAGCTGTGGTGTGAGCTGCAGTGTGAGCTGAAGTGTGAGCTGCGGTGTGAGCTGTGGTGTGAGCTGTTGTGTGAGCTGCAGTGTGAGCTGTGGTGTGAGCTGCGGCGTGAGCTGTGGTGTGAGCTGGTGTGAGCTGTGGTGTGAGCTGCAGTGTGAGCTGCGGTGTGAGCTGTGGTGTGAGCTGTTGTGTGAGCTGATGTACCACAGAAGCTGCTCGCTGCTCAGGATTTAGGAAAGAGAGGGCGACGCAGGGAGGCTGGAGTCTCTCTCTGTCTAAGGGAGAGGGGGGTTGAGATCTGAGAGGCATTGTGCTACAGACGTATAAGCCTGTGAAGGAGGAATGGTTTCGGTTCCGGGAGTCCAAACGGGGAAGGAGGGTTCTGCAGAAACACGTGTGGCCCGTTCACGTGCACAGAGCACTGCAAAAATGCTGCAGAGTCGCATTCACTATCCTGTGGCACGTGCACAGAAAAGGCTGCAGTAAAGTGGATGTGATGCCCACAGGCTGCTTGCTCTGCTACACAGTGCTATGTTATGCTGGCAAAATAAAACATGGGCACATTTTACTAAAGGCTCAGTGAAAACAGTGAGCAATCATAAAGATGCCTGTATAATGCTGTCATTTTCGAGCTGCTTTATTCCCGCTGACCTGAAAGTGCCAAAGCACTTTTTATATTCTTCCTTTTTGAATTTGATTTTCTGAGTGTATGTTTGCATACTGTGTGCGCAAAACTGAGCTTTTTTTTAGGTGATTCTGACTTCCCATGTAGATTATGTGTTATGAATTATGTGTTATGAATGTTCATCTGAGTCTTTCTTCTCCCAAGTATCCAGGGCAGTGTGGTAGATGACCTGCCTGTTATATTTTTAATAAAGAATGTCTGTCTGTTTTGGAGCTCTCTCCCGCTGCATCATTCTGCCTCTGCCTGTGTTATCAGGGGTAATCGCAGGTGTCCCTGCTGATGTTTGCGCAGGCCTGGTCAGTAGCCCGCCGAGTGTAGTGGCTAATGCATGCATATAGTCTGCTGTGGCTAGCGCTGTGTACAGTCTGCATCGCTGTTTTCCATTATCTTCACCAGTCTCAGTGCAGTCATGAGATCAAGTGGATCTCCAGCCTGAGGTGAGCTCTTGTGTGGGCTGTGAGCACTAGATCATTTACAGCCATGAGATCTGGAGTGGGTTTGAGGTGCATGTGACATTTAGACAATCATATTGTGTACAAAACAACAGAAATGCAGACAAAAAATTTAAAAATTAATAACTAATGGGCCCGCTTTTAGCTTTTGGACTGTTTCATTCTTTCTTGGAATGCTGTCGCAGAATATCTTAAATGTGTGGTAGGATATTGGAAAAAAATATATAGTAAGAATGCAAGCTTTGAGAAAGTTGCTTATTGACAGTGCAGTAATCTAGAGGGAAATGATGCTTGTCACACACCTGTCCATGTGATGTAAAATCCATAGACGGGTAACAATAGAAACACCACTGCTTTGCTTCCTTCAGTTGGAGTCAATGACATCAGCCCACATAAACTACAGTTTTAAGTGAACCTGCAAACAAACATACAATTTTGTTAAAATCACAGACCTTACTGTGTACAAGTTTATAAGAAACCCAGGTCACAGAATAAGTTTTCCAACAAAGTTCCCTGACTGCAGCAAAAAATTATTCAGAAACAAAATATTCCAGCAAATCATAAATACCAATTCCATTAATACAATCCACCATTGTAAGCACTCCATGCATTTGTATAGTGGTTTATGTATACATTTAGATCTGGTGATTGTGCAGGATACGGAAGCCATTTAAGCCATGTTGGCAATATTTTAGCAATGCCTAAGGCGATTGAGTAATGTTGGAATTCGGGGATATCATGAGGGACCAGGACTTGCACTGCAAGTTGCACCTGGTCTTGTAAAATGGTTTCCTATTATTTGGCCATTACATGCCAGGGGAGAGCAATCATTTGACCCAGTGACTCCCATGGAATAACTCCCCATTCCATTGCAGAACCGCCATTGTAATAACACCTGGCAACAGAAACACCAGAAAACTAACACTCAGCAACAGAACCACCACCGTACAACTCTACAGAAGCACAGCCACACTAAAGGCCTTTGCACACCAAGTCCGTTTTTTTCATCCAAAATTGCCACACGTTTAAAAATAAATACGACCCCACGTTCTGTCAATCACGTTTACACACTGAATCCGAAATTTTCGTCCGCCATAAAAAGTATCGGAACGGATTTGATTTTCTGCGTTTTTTTGCATCTGTCAAATGCAAAACGAGAGTTGTTTGGCTATTCAGGGCCACCGTCTGTGGAAAACACTGCCGGAAAAAGAGGAGGAAGAAGAAGAAGTGTTTCGCCAACCGCCGTAAAACACCATAGGCTGTGGTCGGTTAAATAATACATCATTAATGATATTAATTACATTCTCTAAATGGGAACATATTTTAAATACTTGCAGCAATTCCCCAGCAAAAAGACAGACCGGGGGAAATGGGTCAAGCTCGGGAATTCGGGTGGATGATTGGCTACATGCAGACTCAGATGTCAGAGCGGATCCGCGAATCACTTTCTGTGTGTGTGTGTGAGTGTGCGTGTGTGTGTGTGTGCTTACCTTAGACATTCTGCTAAACGCTGTTCAGGATCAATTGGATCTCGGAAATTGGTGGTCTTTTTTTTAATGTGTGGTTCCAGCATTGCTAGCTGCGCATCAAACTGGACCACTGACATCCGAAATAGATCTGGAAACGGTCGGGATAATTCCGCAGGTCCTTTATAAGCAGGTGAAACTCCCCTTGCTCTGGACGCCTTCTGAGGATTGGATGGACAATATTTTCTTTTTTGAAGAAGCGACAGGACTACAAAATCATCCTCACTGCTCGATGACTCCATTTTGTCTCGTATTGCAAATTTTCGCAAAAAATAGAATAAAAACGCATTGGACTCAGTGTGCAAGGTTTCTGTGCGTAAAGATTTTTATCGGATGATGGATTAAAAAAGCACATATGAAAAAACGAACTTAGTGTGCAAAGGCCTTAACACCTGTCAACAGAACTACCATCATACTAACACTTGGCAACAGAGTCACAACCATATTTACAGTAAGACAAGATATACTGTATTGAACCCCGTGGGGTAATTTCTCCTCTGCATTTGACCCATCCTACAGTTAGGAGCAGTGGGCAGCCACAGAGCAGCGCCCGGGGACCAACTCCAGTTCTAAGCCAGTTCCCTGGTCAGGGGTACTGGTAGGAGTGTTCCTTTAATGCATGTTTTAATGCATGTTCCTCTAATGCATTAGGTGGAACCGGAGGAAACCCACGCAAACACGGGGAGAACATGCAAACTCCACACAGAAAGGCCCTAGGCCGGAATTGAACCCACAACCCTCTTGCTGTGAGGCGACAGTGCTAACCACTGTGCCACCGTGCCACCCAGGTGCCGCCCAGAACTACCACCATGCTAACATTAGGCAGCAGAACCACCACCATACTAACACTTGGAAACAGACGTGGATTTACTGTCTTTGGCTTTCTCCAAGCATAACAGATCACTCATTAAACCAGGGGTCCCCAGTCTTTCCCAGAAAGGGCCGGTGCGGGTGCAGGCTTTCATTGCAACCAAGCAGCTACACACCTGATGCTACTAATCAAGCTAATTAGCAAAGAGTCCAGGGGGTTGATTTGTAGTATCAGGTGTGTAATTGCTTGGTTGCAATGAAAGCCTGCACCCACACTGGCCCTTTCTGGGAAAGATTGGGGACCCCTGCATTAGACCACATTAGGAGTTCAGGTCTTGCGTTGCATACACCATGTCATGCATTTTTTTTTTTTTGCTTTAGCCTTGATAAAAAATTATATCAGAATGGCAGCCCCGCTATAAATACTGGCTTTGTGAAGCTCACTACGTGCTGTTTTTGCTCAGGCTAGTCCAGGTTTAGCTGATTCGATTCTAAGGTGATACTTTTAGAGCTGTACTTAACAGCAGCTGTATAACTTAGTGTCCATCTGTCCCAGCCAGAGAGCTGTGACCCCCAGCCGCGGCCCTGTTTTGCTGTTGGTGCATGTTGACATTTGTCATCATTTTTGACCTTGCACCACCTGCCAAATTAAATATTTTTGCATCTCCAATTTGGGCACTATCTGGCCCATTTAGAACTCTGGTTTCTTATCTTGGTTTTGTGAATTACCTCGCTAAATGCTGTTATTTAGACCTCTAAGGCATTTCTGTCTCCTAACTTGCTTTGAAATTATTTGAAATCACCTGTGCAGATGGTTTCTTGCAGTAAAAGGAAAGTCAAAGAGGAGGTTAAGTGCATAAAGAATAAATATGGATCGCTGCTATATGATAACAAGGATATTGCGGATACCTTTAACAGTTTTTTTGTTGAGAATTTTACCTCGGAGCGGTTTTTATTCGGCCAGAGGGCATGTCCAACGTTCAAGACTATTTTGCGGAAATTGAGGTTAGGGATACTGAAGTATTAGACAAGTTGCATAAACTAAAAGCAGATAAGGTGGCGGATCCTGATGGCTTACATCCTAGAGTGCTCAGGGAAGTTAGTAAGATCATCTTTAAACCGCTCTCCGCTATCTTCAGACGGTCTTTAGAAACTGGAGAAATACCAAATGACTGGAAGCAGGGCAATGTAATACCAATATATAAGAAAGGGGACCGTACTGAGCCAGGAAATTACAGGCCAGTCAGTTTAACTTGCATTGCGTGCAAAATACGGGAATCTATCATAAAAGACGAGCTGGAATTATTCCTTGAACGTAATAATATTTTGAGGGATAGCCAACATGGTTTCTGTAAGAGAAGGTCATGCCTGACAAACCCTCTGGAATTTTTTGAAGAGGCCACCAAGACTTATGATCAAAGCAGGGCTTATGACATCATATACTTGGATTTTCAGAAAGCATTTGATAAAGTACCGCATAAGAGACTAATTTTTAAAATGAGCTCCATTGGAGTTACAGGAGGTATTCTGGAGTGGATTCAAAACTGGTTACAGGACAGAACACAAAGAGTGGTGGTCAGTGGAATCTCATCTCAGCTAGGTATGGTGAGGAGTGGCGTCCCTCAGGGATCAGTGTTGGGACCCCTGCTGTTCCTCATCTACATTAATGACCTTGATAGAAATATTGAGAGCAAATTAGTTAAATTTGCGGATGATACTAAATTGGGAGGTTTGGCAAGTAATGTAGACTCTATTAAAGTGATCCAGGAGGATTTGGATAGAATCCAGAGTTGGGCAGAAATGTGGTAAATGAAATTTAATTTAGCAAAATGTAAAGTTGTACATGTTGGTAATAAAAACATTAGACAGGATTACTTCATGGGAGATTTAAAACTGGAATGTGCTCCACATGAAAAAGATCTAGGAGTGATTGTTGACCAAACCCTCACAGGTTCTAGTCATTGTGCCGTAGCAGTTAAAAAAGCTAATCGGATGTTGGGATACATTGCCAAAAGTATTGAGTACAAATCCAAGGAGGTGATACTTCTCTTGTACAACACATTTGTCAGACCACATCTGGAGTATTGTGTACAGTTCTGGGGTCCATACTTTAAGAAAGATATAGAGGCTCTAGAATAAGTTCAGAGAAGATCAACTAAGCTGATTCCGGGTAAAAAAGATGAAAGCTATGAGAAGAGGCTGAAGATCCTTAATCTCTTTAGTCTTAGGAAAAGGAGACTCAGGGGTGATCTGATTGAGGTCTTTAAATATGTTAAAGGGATTAACAAAGTGAATTATGTAGGATTCCTTCAGCCAAGTTCTGTTGGTAGAACTCGGGGTCATAAATGGAAGTTGACCAAAGGTAAATTTGGGTGAAATATTTTTTCACCCAAAGAGTAATTTTGATGTGGAACAGCTTGCCTTGACCATATTGTTGAGGCAGAAACCTTGGCAATTTTCAAGAGCAGGCTTGACTTAAAGCTAGATACCATTGAGACATTGAGTATCTGAAGTGATATATTCACAATAGTTAAAAGAAACTGGCAAGTCTAGTTGGGCTGAACGGCCTGTTCTCACCACTCATGTTATGTTATGTTATGTTATGTAATGAAGGGGGGAAAAATCTGAGCAAGCATCCTGTGTTAACGGCTCTGTCTCTTTAATTGATACCCTTACCTTGTGCCTGTACCCTTATCAGTGGACATGAGTTCCTGTCAGTTGGAAACTAACAGGAAAGAACTATGTAAATCAATTTAATGGAATATTTTCTGCCCTCCTCAAGTTCTGGCTCATTAGCCATGACTGGATGGAAGACAGACTGCCTCCGACAGACGGCCATTCTTCCTCCGACTTCTGTCTGGAACTGTAATCTCCCTTCTGTCCCTTTGGCTATCAGATCTATCCATGGCAGATGATGGGTGCTGTAGGCTGTGTGGTCATCATGATCCGTCCAGCATGCTGGCCTTGCATCAGCTAAGCACCCTAACGGCCTGGTGTGGCCAGTTTAATGACAGCATGAGGCTGGAGCCCTATCCGCAGGGCGGCAGACGGAAGGACCACAGGGCTTAGCCCCGCCCTGTCATGACATGAGAGAGCAGGCTTGGGCAGCAGTTTGCCCTGGCTGTAATGGGGGAGGGTGGAGCCAGTGCCTCACATGCGTCAGAACTGATGGAGGGCGGACAGGAGATCCGTGTGAGGGTGCCTGTGTTCGTCGTCGTGCTCTTGAGGGGACGTGGGCTGACGTGGCAGATGCCACTGATCTCAGCCCAGTCTCTGATGCTACATGACAATTAGAGCTGTGCGGGGTTGTGGGTGAGAAAGTGGATTGTGAGCAGTCATCACTGGTCTGGATTGTATGTCATTGTGATATAATGACTGCAGTGCCTTATGAAGATCCGAATCTCCGCTTCTTCGATCTCCTCGCCTCGTCCCTCTCTTCAGTTACTCTCCGTCTCCTGGGAACTGGGATCATTAACCCTCACAAAGCATACCGCATTCCACAATGCTGCTAATGACAGAATTAAGGCACGCCAGCTGTGGGTGGAAGTCAAAACCCAAAGGATGCTAGATGTACAGGAAACTACAGGCCTGTCAGTTTAACTTCCATTGCATGGAGAATACTAGAATCTGTCACTAAAGATAAGCTGGAATTAATCTTGAACATAAATAACATCTTGAAGAATAACGAACATGGTGTCCGTAAGGGAAGGTCAGGCCTTCTGGAATTTTTTGAAGAGGCCTCCTAAACTTATGAACAGAGCAGAGCTTATGACATCACATACTTAGATTTTTAGAAAGCACTATGTTTGAGTGAGGGGATTTAGAGAATGCTTGGTGGGTGAGGGGGTGGGTCCAGTTTGAATTCAATCCCTCCCCGATCCATCCCCCCGCCTGCAGTGACACTGGGTGACTCTCATAACATAACATAACATAACATGAATGGCGAGAACAGGCCGTTCAGCCCAACTAGGCTCTCGCCAGTTTCTTTTTGTACCATCGTGAATATATCACTTCAGATACTCAATGACTCAATGGTATCTAGCTTTAAGTCAAGTCTGCTCTTGAAAACTCCCAAGGTCTCTGCCCTCAACAATATGGTCAGGCAAGCTGTTCCACACTGAAATTACTCTTTGGGTGAAGAAATATTTCTGAATATCAGTGCTAAATTTACCTTTAGTCAGCTTCCATTTGTGACCCCGAGTTCTGCTAACAACACTTGGTTGAAGGAATCCTACATAATTCACTTTGTTAATCCCTTTAACATATTTAAAGACCTCAATCAAATCACCCCTTAGTCTCCTTTTTCCTAAGACTAAAGAGATTAAGGATCTTCAGCCTTTTCTCATAGCTTTCATCTTTAATACCCGGAATTAGCTTCTGGCTCTTCTCTGAACTTTCTCCTAAAGCCTCTATGTCTTTCTTAAAGTATGGTCCCCAGAACTGTACACAATACTCTAGATGTGGTGAGGGAATGTATTTGTACAAAAGAAGCATCACCTCCTTGGATTTGAACTCAATACTTTTGGCAATGTATCCCAGCATCCGATTGGGGCACAATGGCTAGAGCCTGTGAGGGTTTGGTCAACAATCACTCCCAGATCTTTCTCTTGTGGAGCACATTCCAGTTTAAAACCTCCCATGAAGTAATCCCGTCTAATGTTTTTTATTACCTACATGTACTACTTTACATTTCGCTACATTAAATTTCATTTACCACATTTCTGCCCAATTCTGAATTCTATCCAAATCATCCTGAATCACTTTAGTGGACTCTAAACCATTTGCCAAGCCCCCCCAATTTAGTATCATCTGCAAATTTCACTAATCTGCTCTCAATATTCCTATCAAGGTCATTAATGTAGATGCCAGAACAGCAGGGGTCCCAACACCGATCCCTGGGGACGCCACTCCCCACCCTACCTAGCTCAGATGATATACCACTGACCACCACTCTTTGTGTTCTGTCCTGCAA